ATCTCACTTTCTGGTTCTCAACTGTGTGTGTGAGTGTGTGTGACTGTGTATGCACACATACCACAAAAACAATGTAACATCTGTTCTCACGAAGTGGCATACTTTATAATACTTTGAATTGCATCGGGCTTTATAGTTTTCAAAGCACTCTCATTTCGATGATGCCATTTGATCCTGGTCACACCAAGGCATGCTTCGGCAGAAATGGTCTTACTACCAGGTTCGCTTTAACTCAGAGACGGTAACTTCTTTCTAACCCATGACTAGTCAGGGGCAGAAATGGGCCCACCATCCAGCCCTGAGCCTCTTTCCATCTAAAGGCCAAGCATTCCACCAGAGAGAGGAGGAGCAATGGTAACGATCGTATGCTGGGGGGTCATAAATGACCTCAGCAAACGACAACCCGATTAGATAGTGAGGGAGAAATTGGACTTTGAGAGGATTGAGCAAAAGGCAAAGAAAGAAAATACTGACAAGGCAGTAAACAACCCAATAAGAGGGAGTCTGGGAAAACGAGAATCTGCATCCACTGAAGACCACATGTAACCCTTTCCTGCCCAGTGAATTCTGGTCACTCCAATGCTGGAACCCATTCCTTCCCATTGTGCAGCATCCTAACTGCTCACAAATATTTCCTGAGACAAGGAAAACCTCAAGATCTTCAGAAAATTTAAATTTCTCTTTTGTTCTCTAGACTCAAAGGGAGATAGTATTTCTAAGATCCAGAATTTAGACACTCTTGGTGAGGTGGCAGTTCAAACCCACCAGCTGCTCCTTGGAAACCCTATACCAGGTCCCTATGAGTCTGGTACTGACTGGACGGCATGAAACAACAACAACAAATTTACTTACCCTGGCTTCTTGAATCTAGACAGGCACTCTAGTCTTCCTGGAATGCACGAGAGTTCAGATTTCATAGCAATGCAGTGTCTAAAGAATCACCTGGAGGAGATGGAAGGTGAGGCTAGAATTCCCACATCGGCTGCCCCAATGGCTGTTGTCCCTGGGCTTTATTCAGGCGCTTTACAACTATTTATACCCTCAGACTCTAGGCTTTAAAAAACCTAACACATCTCCCACATAGTGGCATTTACTGACTCTTACTCTGTGAATATACTTGTTGTTGTTGTTAGGTGCCATTGAGTCGGTACCGACTCATAGCAACCTTATACACAGCAGAACGAAACACTGCCTGATCCTGACCCAACCTCACTATTGTTGCCACGCTTGAACACACATGGGTACTAAGATCCATTGAATTGTGTATTTTAAATAGGTGACTTGTATGGTATGTGATTACATCTCAATAAAGCTGTCATTAAAAAAACAGACAAACACAATTTCCCTGCAACATTTCAGGGGAACAACAGTCTGGATTCTTGTGAAACATAAAGGACCATATTAGAGTTGTTCTTAGAACCTACGATAGTTGTAGAAGAAAGTCATAGTCATATTCTTGCCCTCATAGGTCTTACAGTCCAATGGGCTGAATCATGAGAAGGATACAACATGACTTGGCCATGTAAAAGTTTGAAATATTTAGACTTTTCTGAGGACTTTTCTTTTGTGTTCCTTCACAAATTGTCTAGGAATGTTGTGACCACAATAAAACAGCATCCAAAAAGAAAGTATCTACATACATTCTCTTATTTGAATTGCCCCTGACTTTAACCCCCTCTTTCCACCTCTCAGACTGTGAGTTTTTTAAGAACAAAGCAGTCTTTTCATTTTGTACTCTCTACAAAATTGTTGCCTCCGTAGTTAATAAGATGCCTTGTCATTGCGCACATAAGTGCAATATTTTGTAAACTTTGCTGAAACAACACTAGCCCTAGCACTGTGACCAACATAATAGTGACTGGTTCCACAATTATCTTCACCACCAAAGCATATTGTAACCGAATACTAAGGTAATGTCTGTACCACAGATTGGATGGAACACATATCTTTAAAATACCATATTGACTTCATCATTATTCTTCCACATTATTTAAATGTGGCCCTTTTTCAATGGAAGCTCTTTACTATACCTACAGTGAGTCTGTTCACATGTATCCTTTGTGGACTCACACCTGATACTGTACATGAATGTATGTATGTATGCATCATTCACTGGCCTGTTGTTGACTTACATACATATAATACACTCAGAAAAGAAGTATCTGGAGTGAGGGGCAGGGTGGAGAACAACCAAGGTAGTTGTTGGAGATCTTTCAATAACAACCAAGAATGATACCATCTTGCCTATTAGAAAAAGCTGCAATTGGAAGTCTTGAGATCAGAATTGGCGTCTCTGGGTAACAAAAAAAGTTAAGTGTTTGGCTGCTGATAGAAAGGCTCGTCTTTCCAGTCTACCCAGAAGCACCTCAGAAAAAGACCTAGCAATCTACTTCTAATAAACCAACCGCTGAAACAGTTCAACTCTGACACATGAGAAAGCTCTCTATGAGTCAGTCCACTTGATGGCAACTGCTTTTTTTTTTTTTCTTTTGGTGTTTGTTTGTTTTTCATCAGAATTATACATTCAGAGTTAGCTACTGAATGAAACCCTCCTATGCGCTAGGCCCTGGTCAAAGGTTATTTCATTCATACTTTACAATCAGCTTTTGATGGAGGCATTACTAACTCCTTTTACTGATGTTGAAACTGAGGACCGAAAAGGTTGGAGGATTCCCCAGTGTTTCAGTCTTTGACCTCATGTCTTTCTATGATATCTCTAGTTTGAACATTTTACTGAGTTGGGAGATTAAAAACACACACACACAAAAAAAAAACTCCACAAGAACTTTGTGCTGGTAGGAATTTCTGGTTTTCTAAGGTTCAGTAAGCTGTGGCCTTGCTTTCCTGAACTTTGAGTTTCACTTGCTCATGAAGCCCCAGAGGTAGGTAAATGTTGATGCTATGAGAGCAGCAGCGGGTGGCACTGCTTGGGTGGGGTGGGGGGTGTACCCACACTCCTCTGACATGCCCATCTAGGCTGCTGTTCACGTGAAATGATGCCTGGCAAGACTGGAGTCCTTTTTCCTGATAGATGCAGGTTTAATGTCCAAGGTTATAACCTGCCAGAAGTGAACAAGCAGAAGGAAAAATCTATGAGGTCAGTAGTTAGCAAGATGTAAGCAGCTCTGCTTTAATTCACTGACCCAGAGCTAGACAGACTTCCTTCCTGGGACTCTAGGCAAGTTCTTGCTCTCTCCGAACCAGAATTTCCTTATCCAGAAAATGAGGGTAGGAAAACTGAAGATCATGTATGAAAAGAACCAGGCATATCAGCCTAAACAAAAGATGATCATTCTGACTGTCATTATAACAAAAATAAGTTGTACTTGTAGCATGAGTAATAATAAATTACTTATAATTTATTATAGTAATAAATCCACCAGTAGCTCCACAGGAGGAAGATGAGGCTTCTCCCCTGCCAAACATTTATAGTTTTGGAAACTACAGAGTCGTTACGAGTGGGAATTTAGTCGACGGCAGTGAGTTTGGTATTTTGGGTGTTTTGAGCATGAGTAATATTCGTTCTGTGATGCTGTGGGTTAATGTGCTGGATCGCAAAGTCGGTTTGAATTCCAAGGGCGGCAGTTCAGGCTCACCAGCCACTCCTCGGAAACCCAATACAGAGTCGCTGTGGGTCGGAACCGACTCAAATGCACTTAACAACAACAGCAATATTCCTTCTGCCATCCATCTTCCAGAAAGTGGAATGTCACTGTTCTGACCAGCCCAGCCCTGACTTCCAACCACCGTCACCCCCTGACTCTGCATTCTTTCACTTCTGCGCACCTCTTCTTCCTCCATTCTGCTCTAGCAAAAGCCAAACCCGATGAAATCTCCATGTGTCTCCAGATCAGGTCACCTTGCTTGAATCAAGAACCAGCATCGAGTGGAGTTGAGGAAACTAGAAATTGTGACATCAAGTGGTAAGTAGAGTCAAAGAAGCTGGTGAGGAGACCCTATCTGATCTAGCCCTTCTGTTGTCCCAGGGTCAAATTTCCCAAACAAAATGAGTTCCAGTGTTGTGCTCCAAGCATTCCTCTTGCCTTCAATGTTCACTTCCTACTTCTAGAAACTGAACCTGAACTCCATTTACACACCTCTGTTCTTTTCATTTCATTGACATTTCTCTTTTTCACCCATAGATTCTAGTGCTAATACCTTGCACCATCAGGAAACTTGTTATTTTCCATTTGGTTTGGCACTGTAGGCTAAGCACAGGACAGCAAGGTTGATTTGAACCACAAAGTCAGCAGTTCAAATTTACCAGTTGCACCTTGGAAACCCACTTGATGGCACTTAATAACAACAAGAAGTTTAGATTTTTGTTTCAACAATCACTAAAATTCTTCAGAATACACCCATATACCCAGATAATATCACAGCTGAGTGAGCTGATGCCATAGATCAATCCCTTTGAGCTTTACTGTAGTTTCTATAAACTTTGAGCACAAAAATGTAAGGGATAAGAAAGAGTCTGAACAGAGTAATAGACTATTTTGGCATTAAAAGCTTTAGGGAGTGCAGGCTTTTGGAGATGGAGAAGGATGGGGAAGCAACAGCTCTTGAATGCCTACTCTATGCAGGCATTTTACACACACATTTCCCTCTCTGGTGCAGTTGAGATCCCACTTCACAGAGGAAATGATGGCTCAGAGAAATCAAAATGCTTCAGCCAACATTACATGGTTAAGAAGCACCAGAACGGAGCCAGCAGGTTTCCCAGTATAGTGGGATGGATTCCAGAGCTCATTCTTCAACTGTGTGATTTAGGGGAGTCCCCTAAATCCTTCTGTCCCTCAGTTTCCTCACCTGTAAAAGGAGAGGCTGGATTAATGGACATCTATTGCAGCATTAACCTTCTGTGAGTAAAGAAGTGTTGCAAGCCTGTTTTGAAGGATTGGCTGTTTGTGAGCCAATCAGAGGTATTGAATAAAACACCTCCCTACCAGACCAAGGTGAGAAGGGGAGGGCAAAAGTTAAAAAAAAAAACAAAACGACTTTAATGAGAACACCATAAAAACTGTGCGTTACAGAAGATTGGTCCTATTTGGCAGCAGCTGCCTCACCCACAACTGCTGACATCTAAGAGGACTCTTCTCTCCCAAACCCCAAACTGTAAGTGAACCACTTCCTCTGTGTGCCTGAACTGCACCTGGGAGAAGGAGGTCCTGGCAGCAGGAAGCTTGCACAGGGAAAGATGGGTCTGCTTTTATGTTCAGGAGAAGCTTGCTGGTAGCTTTCTATCTGCTGAGAAGATTGTTTGTCTTGCTAAGAGTGAATGTTCACTCACACCATCCCTGGCTCTTTGAGATGTATGTAGCAAACAGCTCTAGATTGACTGCTGGTTGTCAGTGTTACCAGGTTGAGGGCATGTTTTGAGTCTTTGGACTAGGAAAAGCAACTTGAACACTCTTCAGTCAGGTGGTTTGTTTCTTTCCTTCAGATTTTGAAATTCCTGATCATTTCCACTTTCTCTTTGCGATAGTGTCTAGTTGTTAATCCCCAATTCATGGCGACCTCATGCACACTGAGGACAAAAAGCTGCCTGATCCTGCCCATCCCAGGATTGCTTTCAGATCAAAACTTTGTGATCCGTTGGGTTTTCCCTGGGTGATTTTCAGAAGTGAATAGTCAGACCTTTCTTCCTTGTCCTTGTTAGTCAGAACGCTCTGCTGAATTTGTTCAGTATCATAGCAACATGCAAGCTTGCCTCGACTACACATGAGGTGCCTTACAGGAATCTACCCCAGGTTGCGTTGTATTGTTGTTAAGTGCTGCTGAGTTGGTTCCCACTCATAGGGACCCTGTATAGGGTCCAAGGAGCAGCTGGTGAGTTTGAACTGCTGACTTTGTAGCTAGCAGTCCAGAGCTGATCCACAGTGCCACACCACTCTCTAAGAATTCTATCACTAAACCACCAATGCCCCACTCTCTTTCCCTAGTGACTGCTTCTTTCAATGATTTATTTACATATCTGTCATATTATGTCATTTTCTTCATTCTCTTCCCACACCTGCTGGTACTAGCACTGAAGTTTCTTTGTCACATAAATGAGCTCTTAGCATGCTTTGCCCTTTGCCTTCACCCACTGTTCCAACAAGCAAATGAAGCAGGAGTGTAAACTTCAGAGCACAGTTGCCGTTTGATTTTGAATTTTCAAACCCTTCCTTGTTTGATACTTTCTGTAACATTTCCACCACACAGTTTGAAGACCCTCCAGTTTAAGCTATTAAAGATTGAAAGCTGCCAGTTTATTTGGATACATATGTTTTGCTATGTGAAAAATAGTTATGTGGTGAGGAGGACATGTTGGTATTTAAATAAAAAACAAAAACAAAACTTCACTTTGAATATTTACTTAAACTAGTTGTCATTAGGCCAATTCTGATTCACAGAGTTCCTGGGTGACAAAAATGATTAATAAGCGCCCATGTTTACTAAAAGGTTGGAAGTTAGAGTCTAACCAGAGGCACCTCGAAAGAATGTCCTGGTTGTTTCCATCCAAAACATCAGCCATTGACAACCCCCTGGAACATAGTTATGTCCTGACACACATAGGGTCACCATGGGCTGAAATAATTACATTGGGCTCCATTAGCTAAACTGGATGTAGTCTGTTGTCCTGGTATTCATCACCTTAGTCCAGGCTCATCGGGGAAACATCTGGGTCAGGGTAGAGCCCGAAAAGTCTAGATTGGGAATGGAGTACGTCACTGTAGGTCTCGGAATTCTTTAGTTACCACTTTGAAGGAACGAAAGTATTCAGCTCTTTCTGGGCTGTTCTGTGTGTGTTCAAAGGTACCAGGGATCAGACTGCTCTGGAGTGCCTCACTGTGCTGGGGTGGGTAATGAAGCAGTGGTCATCTTCATGCATGCGTATCTGTGCTCAGCATCTGGTAATCACAGGTTCTCACCAAATGAACCGCTTCAGATCTCTCGCTGAAAATCCAACGGCCTTGCACAGGGAGAAGCAAATGCACTCTGTGGCCTAATATTTTCCCAAAAGTTAAACATCCATATTTTAGAAATTGTTGTCTCTTCACAGAACTTCTTTGAGGAAGATAGAAAGAACCATACTCTAGGGGTCCATATGTTATTTTATTTAAAGAAGGATTCCAGGTCATAAGGCAGCAAGATATGACTCAGAGTCCTAAAACAACATAACTTGGACATATTCTTCCTGGGCCTCAGTTTCCTCAAGTCTAAAGTGGCACAGCTAGTACAGATACCTCTGAAGTCCTTTTTTGTCTTGTTTTCCTGTGGTCAGTGACCTTCTCTTCATACATGTTCACACTCACAACTTTCCCCCATGTTGTATATATGGCACCTTTTATTGGTGATGGTGGTGTGCCCTGGAGTCAGGTCCAACTCACAGCAACCCTGTATAGGGTTTCTGAGGCTGTAAACCTTTATGGAGCAGAAGACCTCATCATGCTCCCATGGAGTGGTTGGTAGATTTGAACCGCTGAACTTGAGATTAGCAGCCCAAAGTGTAACCCACTACACTGCTAGGGCTCCTTCTGCTAACTACACTGTATCTATACCTCTGTTGATGTCTGTATCTATCTACTCATGAAGAAATCAAACATTACAAATATACATAAGAGGATATGAGAGACCCACTCTACTCCATCCCATTCCCAAGATGTAACCCACAGGCATGAGGTGGGGGTTTTCTCTGCTTATACAGACAGATATATATATATAATGCTTTTAGTTTTTAAAAATAGGGTTACATACACATTCTTTTCTGAAACTTCCTTTTTCACCTAATAATATAATGTGAACAAGCTCCCATTACACTTAAAAAAACAACAACAAAGAGTTCATCAAAGACCTCAAGTGAGCAGAGGCATGAAAACAACTGATTGTCACCAAGTCATCACTATAGATCTCAGCAACTCTATAGGACAAAGAAGAACTGCTCCACAGGGTTTCTGAGAGTAAATCTTTCCAAGAACAGAGGCAGAGGGGCACAGAAACCATTCCCTATCGTTATGCAGTCCTGCTGGCCCCATCTCCCAGTGGTGAACATTGGCCAGTGAGCCTGTCTTATAATTAACAGAGGGGCAACATTTGGCTGATGTGATACAGACCTTTAATCTTTCTCTAGAAGTTTAACTTCCTGTAAACAGTATTCGTTCAACCTGACCTTTCCTCTGATATTCTGCTTGAGTCAGCAAAAGGAAATAACTTGGTAGTACATAGAAACATGGAGGTCTCTTATGTAATTATTATTTTTTAATTCAAAAATAAAATATGAGTAAACCTTTCCATTTCAAAGTGCTTTATAAAACATCTTTATCTTCATCTGCAATTCAACAAATATTTTGAGCAACAAACAAATAAATGAGCCTAGTGTTCAGAGTCTCATTTGATCCATTAGTAATGAGACTTCCTGAGTAGATACTGTTGTTTTTGTTGTTAACTGTTATCAAGTTGGTTCAGGCTCACAGTGACCCTGTACAGGGTTTCTGAGGAGCGGCTGGTGGGTTTGAACTTCCAATCTTGTGGTTCACAGGCCATTGTTTATCCTACAGCGCCACACCAGGACCACCATTTAATTCATAGTAAACTAAGACTCCTGGTGTGGCACTGTAGGACCAGCACTGGACTAAACCACAAGGTTGATGGTTCAAACCCACCTACCGCTCCTCAGAAATCCTACACAGAGTCCGTATTAGTTGAAACTGACTCGCCAGCACTTAACAACAACAAAAACAGTATCCACTTCTGATGCATCATTACTAAATGGATCAAATGAGACTGAATACTTGGTTCCTTATTGCTGTTCAAAATACATTTGCTGAATTTACGTGATAAACAGAAAGCACTTTGAAGGTAGCGTTTTCCTATTTTTCTCTTGCGTGTACACTACAACTGTTGGTAGTGAATCCATCTGAGTGTGTGACTCTGTGGACAGCCCCCCCCCACACACACACACAGTTTTGTTCAGGAATCTCCTGCATTCTTTTCCAGACCTGTCACCATGGCCCACCGATTTCCAGCCCTCAGCCCAGAACAGAAGAAGGAGCTCTCAGAAATTGCCCAGCGTATTGTTGCCAATGGAAAGGGGATCCTGGCTGCAGATGAGTCTGTAGGTGAGTATAAAAGACAGTCACAACATGCAATATGTTTACTCTTGTTTCTACAGGTAGCAAAAGCAACTTGTCAATTACATTCTCCCTTCTCATAGAGGAAGTCAGGGTTTGTATACATGGCAGGGGGATCAGAAGACTCAATAAGCACAGAACTTTTTTTTTTTTTTTCAATTGTGATAGTTCACATGGGAGAACATCGGCTTTACACCATCGTTTCATTGCAATGATTACAATCTCCTATGTGCATCATCATTCAACAGTATTTACTTCCAATCCCTCAGGAATATATAATAATTTAAATAACCAAAAGGCACATTCTGCAAGCCTGCCTCCTAGCCACCAGTACCCAGTCCCTCTCTTTCCATGAGTCTGGAGTCCTAACACAGAACTTTTGAGTCCTGTACTCCCATAGGCAGATTCTTGAAAACCCAGGGGAGAGGCTCAGACTCTCAATAGTAAAGCCTGCTGTCTTCAATCAGGGTTGTAGGAATGCCAGCCACTCAGTGAGTAGGATGAGGTCAGCTATACAGTCATTCCACTGTTAATGAAAAGTCCAGGTCAGCCAGAGAGGCAGAAAAGAAACCTTATAGATCCCTAGGTGATTCTTATGAGATGTTGTTAAAATGTAGATTCTAAACTAAGGTATGGAGTCCTGGAGTGGTGCTGTAGGTGTTGTAGTTTAAACTCACCAGCCTTTCCTCAGAATACTTATACAGGGTCTATATGAACCAACTCAACAGCATTTAACAACAACAATCTGAGGTGCAAATGTACATTCTCAGCATGAAGTCAAATCAGAAGGAAGCCCTGGGTTAAACCCAGCCAAGTCAGGAAGGATAAGGAAATATCTGCATCTGGACCAACACAAGCTGAGAGAATTCCACAGTGGCACAAGGGAGAACAGTGGTGGGCTTGCACAGGCTGCATGAAAAGGCAAAAAGCCTACCTTAGCTCTCCTTTTGCCATAACCCCATCTAGTCAGATTGGAGACTGGGCCAGGGAAGGGTAGAAAGACCTAAAGATCTGTCATACCCAGGGGACCCATTAGTAGCTTTTTAGCTTGACCCCCACTACATACCCAGCAGACACATTGAGTATTTCCTGACTATCATCCTGACAGAAATCAAGATTTTTCCACCACAGGAGAGCAAAAAGAGGCAGGAACTTAGATGATCTAAACGAAGAAGAAAGATAGTCTTGTTTGGTGGGCTCCCTGAGAAGTGTGGACGAGGGGGAAAGGAAAGCCCTGCTTGTCCTCATGCTGTCTTTGGCTGCACACCTTAGGAACCATGGGAAACCGCCTGCAGAGGATCAAGGTGGAGAACACCGAGGAGAACCGCCGGCAGTTCCGAGAAATCCTCTTCACAGTGGACAATTCTGTCAACCAGAGCATTGGGGGTGTCATCCTTTTCCATGAGACCCTATACCAGAAAGACAGCCAGGGAAAGCTGTTCAGAACCATCCTCAAGGAAAAGGGGATCGTGGTGGGAATCAAGGTAAATACTTCTCTGCACATCTCACTTCAGTCTCATCCTAGGCAAGCTCCAACTGACTGGGTAGGGTCAACACTCCAAACATACTCAGCATCTAATTTCTATTCTCACTCTTTCACCTTCTTCATAACTTCTTTCAACCAAGTTTGCCTCAAAGTATTCAATCTCTTGGCATCTCAATTATGTTTGAGCCCATTGTTGTTGCCACTGTGCCAATCCATCTCAAAAAAAAAGACGCCTTCCTCAAAAAAAAAGAGCCTCAACTTTATGAAGCATGATGTCCTTCTCTAGAGACTGGTCCCTCCTGATAAAATGCCCGAAGTCTGAGAGATGAAGTCTCATAGCCCTCACCTCCATGGAGCATTCTGGCTGCACCTCTTCCAAGACTTACTTGTCCTTCTTATTAAAGTACTTACTGTTCTATCTTGTAACTAAGTCTGCACAAACTTCTACATATACCTAATACTGCATAAACTTCTCATGAATAAAAACAAGAATTTGTTGGGTATTTACAATGCCAAGCCCTCATTTAATCCTCATAACAAGCTCAGGAAGTAGACTTCATTATTATCCCAACTGTAGTGATGAGATGAAAAAACTCAACTACAAAGGGGACGTACTGAACTACTAGAGGTGATGTAACTTGCCCACAGTCAGTGCAAGGCAGTATTAGTTTAAGTACAGGCTTTCTAACTCTTGGGACTTCTGCTATACTGAGAGGAGAGCTTGCATCCTTATTCTCTTGACCTCCAGTTCCTGCTATGTCCAATGCTCAATAAATGTCTGTTGAATAAATGAATGACTGACTCAAAGGAAGCTGCTGTCATCCTGTGCTGCTGATTGATTTTCACTCCCTACACTCTAGACTTGTGCTTTCTATACTTTTCATACTCTTAGAGTTGAACCTCTTAAATCTGTTCTTAATTCAATAACTTGGTTTGTGAAAGATGAGAGCTATCAGTACCAACAGCTCTGCCAGTGTTTTCTTTGACATCTAACACCTGCTAATTACTTGTTAATGATTTGTTTTCAGTTAGACCAAGGAGCTGCTCCCCTTGCAGGAACAAACAAAGAAACCACCATTCAAGGTAAGGGCACTCCCCACTGATAGAAGTTGTGCTGATATGTGTTAGAAATGAAGGCAATCTAAAAATGAAGAAGGGCAAACAAAATATGATTTTACACTAGCTTTAGAGTCACACACACCTTGTTTTGAATCCCAGCTCCTCCATTTCATTTATGTGTGACTTTGGAAAACCATTTAGATCTGAGTCTCAGTTCTCTCATCAGGAGCTCTGGTAGCGTAGTGGTTACGACTCGGGCTGTGAACCGCAAGGTCAGCAGTTCGAAACTACCAGCTGCTCCGCGGGAGAAAGATGA